GAGGATAATTTTTGAGTGTGAAATCCTTGGTGGGTTAGAGACAATCGGGGGGAAAAGAAAGAAAGGGAAATGGAAGGGGAAGGGAAAGGGAAAAGGAAAATCTGGGTGTCATACTTGAGTTTACTTTTTTAAACTCAGTAACCATAAAGTGAACAGACTTTCAAAAAAAAGAAATCTTTTTCTACTTGAGCTTTGACCACTTCGATATCACTATAAAATAGTAATTATTATTTAGATTTTATTGTGATTATTATTAAATAAAAATATGAAACAAAATAAGACTATACATTTACTGTATAATTACACAAAAAATTATAAATATTTAATAAATATGTACTAAATATTTAAGTAAAATTTATCCTTAGGGGTGGGTGATATACCGGTAGACACGATTAACTGGTAAAAATTTGTCAACCGTTTTCGACTATCCTCTCTATTGTGGTTACATGCTCACGTGACGTTGCTGTGCTATGTGGTCACAAAAAAAATTATTGTTTACATGCATTTTTAAACATTGCGGTTTAAAAAGAAGGGATTTCGTAGGCGCCGATAGCCTTGTGGACAGAGCACCGACATACAGCGCCATTGCGATACGGGTGTCTCAAGTTCAAATCCCAAATCGCAATATTTTAAAAAAAAAAATGGTGCAGCTGCAGCACATCAATTTCTGCATTTCACTATTAACAAATGGCAAGTAACATGATTGCTAGTAAATCTCACAATTCATTTAAAAGAAACAGCAAGTAACACACTGAATTAAAATGACAAAGTAGAAAGACTGAAATAATATTTCCTTGTAAAACATACTCCAATAATACAATAATTGTAAATATTTTTTTGTGTGACCTGCAGGCACATTCTTTACCACACAAGTATACGGCGCATAATAGGCATTACAACCCCAGCACCAAGCAGACCCCTACAGTGCCAATATAAATGCTTCATACTTTATTAAAACCAATATGCATACATATACACAGCATGTAGTCAACAACAAGTGGCATGCACACAGTGGTTTGGTGCACGCTCATTTGCAGTGCAATCATGTAGGTCGCAATCAGCAAGACTCCGCATGCAGAAACACAGATATAGAATGACTTTCAAAATTATAAGGGGATTAGTTTATTACCTGCAATTAAAAATAATTAGCTTGTTAGACATATGATGGAAATATGAGATGTAAGAGTGATTAATGCTTAGATATGCATTGTGTAGATATACGATGGTCTTAAACTGGAAAAAAAGTCAGGAGATAAGAATTCAATCTTATGCCTAATAAGCCTGACAGTGGTAAATAAAAGAACCTGAATACTCAGAATGTAATTAATAAAACACTGTATTGCAGTTTCCTATAGTGTCACAAATGCATCCAAATTTCTCTGAAGATGTAGGCTAAAACTGAAAAATCTAGTCTGTCTAGTCTAATTATTTATGGCTTTTTACCTTTCATTTTAAAGGACAACAGAAATATCAAACCGATCTCATGGGAAAATGTAACTATTTTGCAAATTGGCGATTTCATATCAATTTGTACAAAGTAAATCACATGAAAACTGATTTTTTTTTTAGAAAAAAAAAGCTAAGCATGAAGGTCCATCCCTAAAACATAACCACCACTGGGGTGTAAACAGATCGTACAAAAAAAGTATGAATGCAATCATATGAATTGGCCATCAATTCGCCAAAACATAAAGCAGCCACGAATTGCAATTAAATTGTTTTAGAAATAGAGGAAATTTTCAAATCAAATCATGACAGAACAGGGCAGCGTTGTCATTGAAAAACATATTTGAAAATACACAACTGCAGATCATCATCATCTGCATAAAATTGAAATGTTTTCTTAAAGTCCCCATGAAATCAAAATTAAAGTTTTTTGGGTGTTAGTATCAATATGTTAGTCTTAATGTTATCTATAAGGCAGTGTGCTCCACACACACTCTGCTCCGGTCCAGAGACACGATAGCACGGAGCGGATCACATGCGCGAGTCGGTGCAGACCACAAAATGTATCGGAGCTATTTGAATTCTACACAGAATGCTATATTTTATAGCAATATGGATAAGATTGTGGCTGGCATACCCTGTCAAATGAGGCTTTACGGAGCTCAGCGGCTCTGAACGGCTCTAGCCCAGGCTGTGATATAAACGAACGCTATTGGCTATTTTAAAAAGGGGCGGGGCTGCTTGATATGTCCCGCCCTGTCTTCCTGTTTCAGTTAAAATGACGTCAACAGAGAGTAACGCTGCCTGTTTCTAAGCATTTCAGGGGACCTTTAAGGTGTATCCCAATGTGCCTACTTATGAACTATTCTATGCCAGTTTTAGGTGTTGACACTGAAAATTCCAAAAAGAAAAAGTGCATTTTAAATACATGGATGATACACTTAATTTACCAAAAAAAAGGGGCTATCAGACTCTGATGCTCAATGACAAAATATGTACTCAAATAATCTTTATTTACAACTCAAAAGATAATTTTTTTAACATGCAAGCACATTCTTGACCAGATGAGTGTATGCTCATCATAGAGAGGAGATGCATGGGCCATTCAAATAGTGCAAAATACAAAATTATTGCCCTAAAAAAATAAAATAAAAACTTTTAAATCAAATGAAAGCACATTACCTACACAGAGTCTAGTTGCTAACTGCTGTTCAAAAATGAACATATTTTAGACTATTTTAAACTGACAGTAAACCAGTTAGTGTGATATGTGTGGTATGATAATGTGGCTTTTATTTTAGAAGTTAGAACACCAGCTTAATTTACTTAAACTTGTTTATTTTGTACTTCCAAGCACTTTACAAGTAACTATATAATATGCATAATAAATAATCTGACTTTGTCTAAACATGCATCTATTGGAGCAAATTATTCTGAGCACAGAGAGTACTGGTACCAGTAGCAGTACCAGTGAACAGATCATAAAATAACCTTTTTTTCTTAGTTTTAAGAACATTTCAAAGACTAAAAAACATTGTTTTCCATTATAAAAAACCTTTTGTGCAATGGAAAGATTCCATGGGTGTTAAAGAATCTTTATTTTTAAGATTGTATGACTACATGCACAGATTTCTCTGCATGGTTAGGTAACCGTATATGTGATTGTATATTGTGGAGACTCACAATATACAATCACATATCCAGTATTCGATTTCTTTCTAATTCGATTCGAGCACCACGATAAAGAGAAAAACAGAACTATGTCAAACAGCCCAGATCGGTACAGGATGGCATGATTCAGCAACAATGCAACAAAAACTTGCTAGTATGTCGACCTGAAATCTATGTATGCATGCAGGTACTGTATATTCCTTTAAATTAAAGGTCATATATAAACGCTTGTAAAAAATATATATATATATAACTTTTATGCAAGGATTTCTCATTCCCACAGTTAGGATTTTCTCTTCACATTACTATGGGAATACATTAATATGTATACATCAATATATTACAACTACACCTAGACCTTCACCTTGCACAATCAAACTCCAAGTCTAGCACTCAGCCTGACATATTTCCTTTGTTGAATATCAAGAACTTAACTAGCAAAGCAAGCTATTTTTAAATTGCTTTGCTTTGTGAGATGTCCCCAGACTGGTGAACCTTTTGCACAGTGCCACGTGCAGCGCATGTCTCAACAATCCTACCTCTCTGAGAGCACAAAACTGCACAACTGTGTCAGCTTCACTCCCGTCACCATACACCATGTGACACCACCAGGATGACACCAAAAAAAAAAATGAAAGAAAAGGAAAAGCAGAAATAACGTAAGGAAGCGATCCTCCAAATCAGCCACTTCAGAGGAAGCAAAACAATACTGATGTTTTATGAAAATACCCAGGTGAAGTGCTCAAGCGTTCAGAGCACTTTGCAGGAGTTGGGCTGCATTGGTGTGGTTGTGGCCTAGTTTTGTGAAGTGGGCTATTAAGTCATTCCATTCAGCTTTTCCACGACTGGCTTTTATTCAATTAGCAACTCTCGCCGAGCAACATTCTTCAAACTCAGAGCTGACTGGACACAAATATGGGAGCTGAAAACCAAAGCAGCTGTACGATAGCATTTGGAAATGCCACATCTGTAAGTAACAACAGCACCGTGTGATTTCATAATGGGGTCTTTAAGGCTGATCACAATGTACCTCGTCTGTGCAATCACTGCTATATATCAGACCACAGCTTTGATGGCCTACTTCCAATATAGCAATTCCACATCCTTTACTGTTTGAACAGCATCCAAACACAATCCTCAGGGTCAAAGACTTAGAGTAAATGGAGTATCACTCTATTGAACACGCTGATCAGAACTCATTCAGACTTCTGGAGATCCTGATGGGCTGACGCTGTGAAACCCAATAGGTTTCCACAATCCCGTTCATTAGCTCTGTCACTGATGTAAGCTTGGGTAAATGAATGTACTGACCTGCAAAGAGAATACAATTCCATGGGTGAGCCAATAACCTCATGCACCGTAAGATGCCACCGGGGAAATATTTGCAACTACTTTTCATACAAGGTGATCAATCGCCCTCTAATAGCCTTCAGTTCTCTATGAGGTTTATTCTCAATTACATTAATAATGGATTTAAATGGAACGAGTCAATGAACGTCTACTATTCTCATGAACTCTTTAGTCATTCGAGCTTGATTAACTCCAGAAATCTTTTTCATTTTGTACCAAGTACAAATACAACACTACAAGTGCCTTCTCTTGTTGCAAGATAGATAAGAAGCAATGTTATACCAGATACTCCACGGTTATGAGCTTTACAGTGAAAACAGGATGATAAATTAGCTCTCCAGCCCACACAATGTGTGTGTAGGCCTTAACGTGTCAACCATTGCAAACTCAAGAACATGCTTGAAGTGTGTCATTCAAGCACGCTGCTCTAAACAAAATAGGTGCTGTATTTTAAAGAGGACAAGCAGTAATCACCCGACCTCGACTCTTCAAATCACAAGTGTCATTGAAAATAAAGCGCTGCTCAAACTCACCTCCAGATTTGTCCGAGCTGTAAGATGTGCATGACGGACTGCAACAGCCAGATACAGAGGGAACAGGACGCTGAGCGTGTCTTACTAGTCCGGGCTGCAGTAGCGCTGTTGCTGCTGTTGCTTGTGGTGTTGCTCTTGCTCGCCGTGGACGCCTGTCTTTGAGGCGTAGACGGGTGGGCTACAACGTCTCCGTGCGAAGCGGAGCAGCTGAGCAGCTTCCCGTCCACGTGGGAGCAGCTCGCCGCGCCGCCACCGCCGCCGCCGCCGGCGGAGCTCTCCTCGGTGCTGAAATCATGGACGAACCAGCGAAAACTGAAGACCTGCACGGAGAACGAGCCGAGCACCACAAAAAACAGCGTAAGCCCGAACCACCAGTAGTCGCGGCGGAGGTAATAGTCGACCGAAAGCCAAATATCAGTGCCCACATCCGCGAAATACACCGCCACTGCGGCGAGGATCCACAGACAGTCCCAGACCGTGTATTTCTGCTGCTCCCTGCCGAGGCGGAGACATGTCGAATTTGAGCCACAGCACCGCGACTCCCCGTTGACGAAGTCCGCCTCTCCGGTTCCAGAATCCGGCTGCGATCCCGGAGCGAGCCCTTGAACCGAACCCGAGTGATCCGAATTCTGCAAAGGCGTAAATGCTACATCGCTCTTCTTCATCTTTAGCACCCCGTCGGATTTCGCGGCCATTGTAGCAGCTTTGTCTTTTCACCGTTTTCGCGTCTTCTCCTCGGCTTCTCTATTCCAGACGAAGAGACACTGGGCTGGGCGACCTCCTCTTCCGCCAGCTACAGCGCCGCCTGCTCATAACAAAGCAACACTTCCTTTCGGTAGCGGGTACGAACCATATGCTCTCCCGTGGCTCCTGCTTAAAACTATGACATCATTGCTTTGCAACTCTTCTTCAGGAGCACATCGTGGTGTTCAATATCCAGCTATTGCAGCACAGCCTTCTGCTAACTTCACATTCGCGCATAAAAATAATGTCTACGGCAGCGGTTCATTAAAGAGGCGACTGCTCGGTTGCTATGGCATTTGTAAACGTGCAGTTTTGAATTCCACCCTAAACTGAACACGCTCTCCACCGGACGCGAGCGGGGCGTCAAAAGTAAATAGGGAAGCGTCCGTTGTGGCGGGTTTTCACGCGATGCACAGCTACTGCAGCAACTTTATTATGCTGAAATAAAATTATTTTATTTACAAATATCATATCTGCGTCAGCTTTATTCGTTACATTTTAATAACTTCTGACTGTTATAACAAGCCAGCTCGTGCAGTTTCTGGTCAAATTTAAATAGCTTTTTTTTTAGTAAACATATATATATAATCAATCAGTTATTATACAATTAATACATTTTGTATACCAATGGGTTTTCCTTAAAGTTCGATAGTTATCCATCCTTTTTACTGTTACTGAAGTCATCGAGCTCACAGCTGATTGGTCCGTGTTAGTAAACGTAAGATGACGTGCAGCTTCCAGATTTCCACTGAAGACAGACTGAAGCCGTTGCGGTGAGTGATTGGTAACCTACGTTTGTAACATAGGCTATAGCCTACAACGCTTGCAAAAAGACATGAATATAGGTTGTTTTGACGCATTTAAATCTAAACAATAACAATGAACATGTTTTACATAAGCTGAAACGAATAACACGCTTCCATGTTTGGTATTTTCAATAGAAGTACCCGAATATAAGCTTTATTTAACCTTTAAAAGGCTTAAATTTACCTATAATAAAACCGTTATCTTCCAAACGCGTCCTCGTCTCGTATAATAACTAAAGGTTCAGCACCACGGAAAGCTCCTGCTATCAGTTCATTAATGTGGCTCATTGTGCACTATGCAGAAGGTCTGCCATAAACAACAAGCCGCGTCGGAGCTCCATATATCACTAAGGACGCTCCAGTGCCACCGGACGTATTGTGCTGGGTGGGCTAACTGGCGTCATTATTGAATTTATTGGCACCCTTGAGTACGGCGCTGTATTGTCGACACGCCCTCTGCTTGCCGGTTACACATAAAGCGAGTCGCTCGCTTTGAAAAACAGCCACTATGGCACGCACACATACACACACACAGAGAATGGTTTTAAGATATTGTATTGATTCAAGTCTAATGGTGAGAAAATTAGCATATTACACCAGCTGCTGCTGCCAGGTAAGGGTCATATGCATTAATGAGGCACATCGCCCACAAAAATACGTTATAAAAGATAAATCAGCAAGGCTCTGACGTACGCAGCTCTAACACTTTGATAGCCCTGAGCTTATTACGCCTCAGGTTTTAAACTTCACATGCTGTTTGGGATTGGGCATTGAAACAGATGGCGTCAAACCGTCAACATTAAGTGGGCTGCCGTGAATTGACTTCAATAATAGACTTGAGAGATGCAACAGAGATGAATTCTCGCTAATTAATTACAGCACGGACGGTGCAGCATTTAAGATGCCACGTTCTGTGTGTGTGTGTGTGTGTGTGTGTGTTATACACATACACATAAATACACAACGTGGTATCTTAAATGCTGCACCATCATTATATCACCAATTTTTTTTTTCTGTAACCATTTACAAAGTCAGCAAGTGTATGATCAGATGGCCGGGGAGGTATACTATATACTTGTATTCCATAGCTTGCAAGCTAGTAGTAGCTTTCCATGGTCAAGGACCTCCCCATAGAGGCCATTTGACTGAAATGTTTGTTTTGTTCAGTGTCATGTTTAGGGCTTTACATTTTCAAAATGAAAAGTCAATGTCCCTACAATAACAGACCAGCATGCAACCAATAAATCTTTCATTCAATAACATCGTCAAGAGTCTATGAACTTAATATAATTTTGAAAATCCAGCGGTTATTTGATTCTGATAAGAAATCATTGCCTAGTTGTATACAGAGTGGCTTTCTTCAATTAGGGAGATATACATACAGTACAGACACAATACAGGTGAGCGAGTCAAACCTTAATTAGGAGGCTAGACAGAAACCAACAAAGTGAGAGGGAAAGAGAGATATGAATCGGAATATAATTATCACCAGCTCTGGGTTCAGCATAAACACAGCCAGGCTCTTCAATGGCTCCTCCACACCTTGAGCTCTGCCTGTATGGCACCTGGACAAGCTTCAGAAAATGATGCCATCTGTCATCATCAGACATGACAGGGATAAGCAGCCTGTCGTGACTTGTGGGCAATCTTTTAGCAGGTCCATTTCAGGCCCCACTGACACACAGACAGCGATCAGATCACCTACACCTCAGGTGTGGGTTTGAGCAGCTGGTTCAAGCTTAGGCTGGTCCTTCTTTTCTTCTGAATGAATATCAGAGGCTGTCTGCGTTAGCTATTAAGAAGCGTTTGCTGCTCATTGGAGACCGGCCTCCCTGTGCTACTACCTCAATATAATTACAGCTGTCTTCTCTTATTGATCTGAACAGGCTCTTTGTGAAAAGACTGTACCCAGCTCCACAGCCCTTCATGCACTCGCGCCAGCCGTTTAAAGATTCAATCTTAATGACATCAGCAGTCAGACAGCCATCACACAATTCCAAGCTATTGTTCCGGCCCATAAATTAAATGTGTGTGCATTTAGATTCCAGTCAGCATCCTCCATAAAAATGGAAGTCTCAGTACAGGATTATTTTATTAATAAGGTGTGCATTTAACGTTTATTCCTCTTTGAATGTCAGCTGTGTGACATTCAGAGCAAACGTTATCCAGCATCCTAGGCTGTCATTACACAGCACTAAAAAAAATCATGCCAGAGAAGCTCAGCCGCATGAATGTGCCGTGGCACTCCTTCCATACATCAGCATTATCAGACAGACTTCATCCATCCACGCTCGCTCGCTCTCCCCTTCAGAGCTCTGACAGACACACAAAACCATTATGGCACGTATAAACCTCTAGTTCGAGATCTTTTCGGTCATGACACGTATAACAAAAAGAAGAGAGATCATTGCAACAAGCCGAGTGGAAACATAAAAGGCTGTTCTCTGAGGCATGTGATGCTGCGCGCTGAAAAGACCGAACACGCAAGTGACCTTCATCCACCACTGGATACCTTCCTTGGACCAAGTGTGTGGACCTTACACTCTGCTGAAAATAACATCACTTGGATCTTATTGTTATTCACTATTCAGCAAAAACGGAAAGGTTAAATGGGTTAAAGGCATTGAATAATTTGCTGTAGGCAAACATGAAAGCGCAGTTGCCATTTCAGCGACTATTCCAGGTTAACCTGCAGCCTATAGATTCACAACAGCGTTTCACACAGAATAAATGCTGTGTTTCAACGTTCTGTAGACGCTTCAACTGTGACATGAATGACAGCCTGTAGTTGCTCAGCAACACACCATAATTCCTCAGGTTTTGTGCATGAGCTTCTAGTGAGACAGCTACCCATTGTGTCAGACCCTGGAAGAGATTCTTATACAGTGAGTTGTCAAGCAGAAACTGGGCCACTGGCCTCTGCATGCTTCATAGACAGGCGAGTTCAAATACCCCCAGTCACTGTAAAGCACAGGATGACACATTAGGGCTTGTTCAGCCAGCCAAATATGCCCTGCCATGAGAATCTTTACACAACTGAGTTAAACAGCTCCACTGTGAACAAAAGAAGCAGCACATCTGATACAAATCAAACGGCCAATCATTGAGCTGTACCCGTATCATAGGATTAATGACTCCACATTCAGAACATGAAAAGGATTTAAAGGGACGGTTCAACTATAAAGTCTGCCATTATGTACTTGTATACACTTACTGTTCAAATGTTTGGAATTGGTAAGAGTATTGACCAATCATTTCTCACCAGTCTGCTTGTTTATTTGATCAAAAGTTATTATATTATTACAATTTAAAACAACAAACGAATAAAATAGTGTTTATATGTAATATATTAAAAACAATAAAATATTCCTGATGTAAATATTATTATAATATAAAAAATTATTCTAATTTAATGTATTTTTTAAGATGTAAATTATTTCTGTGATGACAAAGCTGAATTCAGCAGCCATTATTCAGTCTTCAATGACATTCATGCTTATTTGCTGCACAAGAAACATTTCTTATTATTATCAATGTCGAAAATGATTGTACTGCTTAATATTTAGCGGAAAGTATGAAGCATTTTATTTCAGGATTTTTAAATAGAAAAACTCTTAGTTAATTGTGAATGTAAAAAAGAAAAAATCTTAGTGACCCCAAACTTTTGAATGCTGTAGTGTATGTACTGTATATACATTCTAAAACTATAAAGCTATGAACTACTGTTTTAATGATCATACTGTCTTTATTCTCTGTTGAATGCATAGATCTATGATTGAACCACCAAGATGGTGATATAATCTATGCATTTATATGCATTTCTTTAGACAGTAGCACTGAGTGCATCCACCCCCTAAAAATATCTGACGCTTTCTGTCCCTGATCCCTCTGACCAAATAATTCCTCCACAAACACTGAACTAAAGTAAATGCAGCACAGAAAATATTTAAGACTAAATGACCCTTGGACATTTTGCTTTTTGTCTTTTAAATGAGATTAAATTAAACTTTATTATGCAGTACAAATACTGAAATACTGCTAGCTTTTAACCAGAAGTGCATATACATTATATGTGCAAGTGCAAATGGTATGAGAGGTAAGAGAACAGCAGAGGACTAAGGATATAAATAGAGAAGGTGAAGTGTACAGTGATAATGGGGTATAAATGGCAGATGACCATTACGGTGGAAATGACTGTGTGTTACTGCCAGTTCAAGAAAAGAGCAGAAATTAGTAAAAGTCAGGATTTATATAGTAAAAATAATAAGTTAAACATTCTTCATTACAATTTCCACCCACAAATATGAAGAATATCATTGTGACTCTTGTAAAATGAAAGTAGCCGAAATGAGAACCAGGGCTTTCAAGCTTCAAAATGACAAAAAAAAAAGCACCATGAAAGTATCATAAACGAGGCCCATAGTATACTTTCTCAAAATATAGCCTGAAGTCACATCAGTACAACATCTGTAGCTTATTGGCAGACATTCCAATTGAAAATGTTCTTAACCCA